CCCCCTGAGGGTGTTCAATAGACCGATACGAGGTCGAAACTGCAGTCCACCTTGGATGAGAACAACTTTTTGAGAAAGTAAGGCTGTGCGAAATTCAATGAAAATTTCAGCTTTACTAATATCATTGTTGGACAATTCTACTACCAGTCCTTCATCATCTTAAACTAAATAGAGTGAATACATCTCATATAACTGATTTACTGGAACTTTGAAACTCTACTTATAAACGAAAAATGAATTATTAAGCCTTTGGGATCAAGCATTCCATTGTAGCCATTAAATATTTGGTACATTTTCCTCTGATAAATAGAATACTTGGTTACGAGGGATTCAAGTTCCGGATAAATACAAATTTAGTAATCATAATTATTCATTCTGAACAAAAAACTTTGAATGTCAGGCTCCATCAATATCTTAGCGTTGACGGTCCGACCGTCTCAAATATATGAAAGTAGCCTGGGATATGCCTATCATCATGCAGTGCATAATTCTAATGGCTCAGACATAATGTATATATATAAAAACTAATTATATTGGAGTTGGTATGCCTGCATGATGATCCATGATTTGAATAGATTGGCTATTGCTTGCTGCAAGAATCTTGTATTTTATCCTGCTCTTTTATTCATTTTTAAAATTGGAATCTTTATTAGCCCCCCGGGATACTTTAGTGAATTAACAGGCTAGGCTTGCGACCATCCCTCTTAGTTATGGTATTTATCCCTGAAAGAGTGCGAATCATTAATATCCTATAGCTACAACCGTCAACATCATTTTATCGTTCAAATAAAGTACAAAAAGTGCATAATCCGGTATTTTTTATCAAGCCTTTTGGTTCTTATAATAGCCTGAGCGGTGTCTTTAGTTGAAATTATTCACATAAATTTATATTTGACGATGAGCTGTTAGATTCTGCTATGAGTATGGGAAGTAAAACTCAAGCTGCACTAGCTGATGCACAAAAACTCACTGTGTATCTATCCACCATTTTCTCGACCACAGCATGCCTCAGTTGTAGATCATCTGGAAGTTTTCTATTAATTAATTTGACCTCTAATCCCGGCAACAACCAAAAGTCACGACGGTTACGTTTTTCTTTAAGTGCTTCCTCCTCAGCCATTAATTCATCAAGAGCTCCTCTTTTCCGCTCCGTTGCAGTTGCGGACGAAATCGAAGTAGACGAGGATGGCTTAAGCGAAGAACCTGCAGATGGAAGTATAGCGTAACCCAAATTGGTAGAAATAGAGTATGCTGAATGGTTTGGGGCAGATGGATCCACAAGGCTGGTACCTTGTCGCTGTTTCTCCTTAGCGGCCTTGGCCTTAAGTTCAGCCAGACGGAGGGGGTTCTAAAAATGTAGTAATAACATACATAGACATAATGTTAAAAAAATAAAATCATAAAGCAACAAAAAAGCAGGAATTTTGACCAATTGTCAGGTTAGATTGAATACGATAATCAAGGACAAAAAACAATGGTAAGTGTATATTTAAATTTTCAGAAACAAAGTACTCCTACAAAGCTTGTATTTCCTAATCAGTTTCTAGTAGAGGATAAAAGCACGGCAAGTAATGCCATTAGTGGAAAAATAAATGATCCCATAGAAGAGAAAGCCTTAGTATTTAAATAATCATACCTACCTGGCAAAGAGGCATAAGATACACATTGCATATGAATGAGATGACTTATACTCCAAGGCTCAAGAAAAATAGTTGGCTCTTAGTACTGAAATGCTGTATGGAGCTGATACAAATAGTGATGATTAAATGTTTAAACATATTCTGCCAAACATTCCATGAATTTCGATTAACGATAATTATACAACCACATGCATATTAAATGCAAATGGTTGCAATTAAACATATCTACATTCAGTACAGATCATCCTTCAAAGTATGTGAAATCATTCGGCAT